GCCCAGCTATTTTTCTTTTAAGGCTCAGCAAGGAGGCTTTTCATGCCTCTCCAGCCAGATCCTTTTTCTGCTTTTGAAATTCCACACCACCGCTGCTACCCCATAGGCTGGGGAGAGGTGGCAAGTCTATCATGTGTCTGGCTTTGGGGAGCTCCGCTGACCTTCAAGACTCAGCCACTTACCTTCACCGTCTATTGGCCTTATCACCTATTGGTTTAGCAGTCACTCCTAAGACCCACCTCCTCCTTCCTTCTGCGGCTCCTGTGCTTCCATGAGTCTCTACCGTGCAAGTCCAGCGGCTGTGGTCTCCTTTCACTGGTTGTCCACCTCTCTCCCTTTACCTTCATCTAAAACTGCACTTCTCTCTCCTTCCCATTGGCTCTTTATTCTGCCCATCTTGAGGCACTCCAGCCCTCTGCTTGTTAGTTAGTTTCTCGATTTTTACCGCATAGATCTGGCTTTCCACTGGTTCCTTCAAACTTTGTTCAGCTAACGTCCTCGTACCATCCACTCCTCACTCGTACTGGTTCATTGACCCGCCTATTTCCTTTCCTGCACCTAGTTGGTCGCACCACCCGCTCATCACTCACCAGATTACATCTGATTGGAGAAGGAGGTGGGCGCACCCTGTGGGCCGTAGCCTTGCTGCCCATAGTCGCCCTGGGGTCCATAGCCACCGCCACCGCCACCGGCTGGCTGCCCGTAGTCGGGCTGGTAGCCGCCCTGGGGCCCGTAGGAGTCCTGGGGCCCATACCCGCCGGGGCCCTGCCCATAGCCCGCATCGCCGTAGGTGTCCCCGGGTGCTGGTTGCTTTTCGGGGGCGCCAGGAGGTGCGCGCAGGAATGGAGCAGCCCAGCCTGTCTCCTTGAATACGAACCATAGATTGCCGACCCAGAGCACAAGGTTCAGGAAGCCGAACACCTGCGGGGAGACAAGGCCAGCTTTGGTCCCCTGCCCATTGCTCTGACGGCCCCAGGAGACATCAAGATCGTGGGCGCGCAAGCAGTAACGGGCACGAAGGGCATGAATCCTGGACTTCAATGTGTACAAAATCACCTTGGGGGTGCGTGTCAGAGTTCAGATTCCTGGGGGGTGTTGAGCTGTTTCGTTATCACATGCACAAACATTTATGTATTTGCACATATATATTATTACGTATACATGTACAAACGTATACATGTTTGTACATGTATAAAATACAGTATATTTGCATTTGTACTGTCCTAAAATACACATTTGTGTTAAATATACTAACAGATGCATGTATACACATGTGAATTTACAAGCATAAATACACATGTATAAAATATTAAAGGTATAATATATTGATATAAATGGCATTTTATAAAAGTTTAAAAACACAATGCACTTTATATACCTTTTGCTCTATGTCACTATTCTAGGCACTATAGATGCTATTAGTTCACTTAAAATTCCATTTGGGGGCAGGAAGTAATACCTCCTTTTACTTTTACATTTATTTTATTATTATTATTGTCATGTTTTTTGATAAGTGATCTTCCTGTGTAGTTCAGGCTGGCCTCAAACTCAGTGATCCTTCTGCCTCAGCCTCTGGAGTGCTGGGACCATAGGCATGTGTCACTATGCCTAATTTATTTTTATTTATTTATTTATTTTGCGGAACCAGGGATTGAACTCAGACCTTTGCGTTTGTCAGGGAAGTGCTTATTCCACTGAGCCATCTCCCTGACCCCTATTTTATTTTTAATGAAAGCTAATTTTTGTTGTACTGGGGATTGAACCCCAGGGCTTTGTACACAATAGGTAAACTGCTCCACTGAGTCACAGCCCAGCCCTATTTCTTTTTAGATAATCTTGCTAAATTCCTCAGGCTGGCCTCTAACTTTCTGTCTTCCTGCCTCAGTTTTCCAAATAGTTTGGACTATAGGCATGTACCACAATGCCTGGCTTTCATTTTATTTTATTTTTACTATTTATTTATTTTCACATTCTCATTCTGGCCTTGAACTTTGGACTCAAACAATGCTCCCTTCTCTGTCTTCTGAATATCTGGGGCTTATATGTAGGCACAATGCCCCAGTGATTCTGCTTCTCCTCCTCCTTTTTTCTTTGAGACAAGTTCTCACTGGGTAGTCCAGGTTGGCCTCAAACTTACGGTGATCCTCCTGCATCAGCCTCCAAGTGCTGGGATTACAGGTGTGTGCCACCATGCCTGGCCTCACTGATGCTTCTGGTTTTTTTTTTCTTCTTTTTTTATAGCACTAGGGATTAAACCCAGATGAGCTTTGCCACTAAGCTACATTCTTTGTACATTTTTGTTTTTAACTTAGAGAAGACAGGGTCTCACTAAGTTTCATAGGCTGGCCTCAAAATTTATGATCTTCCTGCCTCAGCCTCCCAAGTAGCTGGGATTACAAGCATGTTCTGTTGCATTTAATTGGTAGCTACATTATAAAGTTGAGGAAGACCAGGCATGGTGGGACATGCCTGTTCTCCTAGCACTCAAGCGGTTGAGGCAGGAGGATCACTACAAATTTGAGGCTTGCCAGGACTACACATGAGTTCAAGGTCAGCCTTGAACTATATAGTAAGATTCTGTCTCAGACAAACATACCAAAATATAAAGCTGAGGAAACTGAGGCTTAGACAAAATAAGTTGTCCAAAGTCTCACAGCCAGAAAGTAAAAGGAAAATTGTAATCTTAGCATTTGCAACACCTGTATAAGATTTACCTGTGCCAGGCCTTTTCTAAGCACTTTGTATGTTAAGTTCACTAAATACTCTACTTTGGAGCAGGATCTATTACAGGTCTTTAGTTTATGAGCTCAGATTGAACCAAGAAGCTAGTGTCTAGTTTCAGGTCACAGAGCTTCCAAGAGGCAGAGCTAAGATTTGAGTTCACACATGTGACCCCACTCAACACGGGGAGTACAAGTAGGGAACCGTTTCACTTTTTAAATTTTGAGGTCCTAAGATACTGAATTGTGGGACATTCTACTCTACTAGGCTGGGTCCAGGATGTAGGTCTTCCAAACTTAATCTGGGCAGAAGGTCTCCTATTCCCCTCTTGGGGCCAGTATGTGCTATCATGGTGGTTACAATTGCAATCTCATCTTTCAATGTACTGTTGTTTGTGTGCTTCCTCCAGGAAGCCCCCTGGGTTCTCCCCTGGCTCTTCTCCCATTCTCTGTCCACCATTCCCCACTACTGACTTCGAGTTTCCCAGCCTCTCTTCCAAGCAGCCCTGTCAGCTTCCCAGAGCTTACCACAGAGGTGTTGAGCCCTGAGGTCACAGGGTCCCTCAGCTCCTTGCATGTGTTCCCGGTCTGGTGGCAGACAGCCATCTCTTTGATAATGTTCTCTGGGTCTGTGGCCATCTTCACATCAGACAGACCCTTGGCCCAGGCGGAGGAGCTAACTAGCCACATGAAGGCGAACACTGCAGTGGCCAGAAAGTCCTGGGGTGGCAGGGGTGAGGAAGACAGCACTGTGAACGGGTTGCTTCATGCCAGGCCCTGGGGCCTCTTCAGGTCACAGGCTTCTTGGGAGAGATGTCCCCCAGAAATGGCCTGTGTCTGTCCCCTGACTCTTTGGCTTTGCAGCCTACAACATTTTCAGCTGAAGGTGGTCCTCCCAGCTTGAGCTTGTGGGCATACATGACACAGGTTGTGGGAGTGTGGTTGTGATGTATGGGTGCAGGTGTTGCAGGAGGAACTAGTGGGTTGTTTCCAAATCTGTGGCAAGTGGTATGGCTTTCTGCTTTTATCTGCATGTGGGAATTTGTGTCACTTTATGCCTGGGATGAGGGTGTACGAGTACAGCAGTGTAGGAATCAGTGTCTGTGTGGCAGGATGACATGAATACTGTTAAAGTGAACCTCTTTGTGCTCTTTCCTTTGATCTAGACTGTGTGGTTGTAAGAGTTGGCGGGTTCACAGGTATGGGTCTGTCTGGGATTCTGTGTAGGCTGCATGTCCCAGATACTCCGTGACTCTGTGCCTGATGTCTGGTGTAGACTCACGAGCGACAGCAGCAGCACCAGCATGTGAGGCCTTTATAAGGGCTGCTTGGCTGTGGACCTGTCTGGGAGTTAGTGTGGCCTGTGAGCCAGATGAGCTATGTCCCTGGGGCCTCATGTCCCCCACTCCTTGCATGCAGTTGGCTGTGGGGACTCACCAGCATGGGTCCTTTGTTGTTTTCTCGGTACTTGTTTTGCAGGAAGATGTAGGTGGCCAGAGCCCCCATGGAATAGAGGAAGGCAAACACAGCCACGGTGACAAAGAATTCAGCTGATGAGGAGTAGTCCCCCACTAGAAAGACCTTGGTTGTGCGCCCTCTGCAGTTGGGTGCATCAAAGTACACTTGGTGCAGCCTGCACAGAGAGAGAGAGGATGGCAGGTGGAGCCGGCCCTTAAGAACACTCCCAGTTCCTCTGCTCTGACGTAGGTCCGTCCCCTGGACTCTGACAGGATCCCAGAAAGGGGGGAAGCAGCCATTCAAAGAGCACCTGTGATATACCCAGTCACATTGCATTGGTTGCTCAAAGCATCCTGGTAGGATAGGTGTTAGTCATCCTCTACTCCAACCCAGGCACTCTTTTTTTTTTTTTTTTTTTTTTTTAGGCTGTGCTTGGACTTGTTATGTAGCCCAGGTTAGCTTCAAATTTGTGATCGTCCTGCCTCAGTCTCCCAAGTGCTAGGATTCTAGGCATGTGCCACCATACCCAACTGACACCCAGGTATATCTTTTCTTTTAGTTATTCCTAATGGATGCCAGGCATCCTATGCCAGGATCTTTGTACTTGAAGTTCCCCTTGCTCTTTCCTTTGATATTTTCATGTCTTCCTCCCTCATCTCCTTGAAGTTTTGCTCAGCTGTCACTGTCTCAGTGCGGCCCTCCTGGACCTCAGTATTTACTGTGCTCCTTAGTCCCCTTCTTTGTTCCATGTTTTCTGCAGCAAAGATCTCCAGCTGACACCCCAGGTTCTATAATCTTGATTTTTGCTGTAACTACAAGAGGGCAGGGCTTTTCCCACTGTTTTGTTCACTGCTGTGTCCCCAGGGCCTGGCAATGGTGCTCTGCTGCAAGCAGTGTTTACTGAATGAGATTTAGGAGGTGTGCATTAATTTGTCTAAAGTCACACACCTGGCAAGGTAATGACAAAGTTGGGGTCTGAATCCTGTTTCCCCCTATATCTTGTTGAGTCACCCTATCCCACTTCTAGTCCCTGAGAGAAGGAGAAAGCAAAACAAAAACAAACCATTTGCAGAGCAGAGGGAGGCCCAGGTGCTACAAAACAGGAAGATGGACTGACAGAAAGGAGGGCAGAAGGGATCTTGAAACAGGATGTGTGATTGTGAGGGAAGGGGCAGCCCATAGTGTTCTGGGACTAGGCCTTCCCTGTGGTGTGATGAGGGGAAGGTTGTGGAGGGAAATGTGTGTGAGGAAAGGGACTGGAAGGAGGACCAAGAGCTCTGGCCTCAGACTTGGGGGCAGGATTTTGAGAGTGGGCAAATGGTGATGGCAGTCTTGTGTCAAAGAGGTTCTAAAGGAATGGACTTACGTTTATTTGCCTCTTACTAAGCACTTCATATCATTGCTTCATTTAATGACACCCCTCTCTTAAAGTGGTCATTCTTATACCCATTTTATGGATGAGCAAGTAGAGTTAGCAAAATTAAGCTACTTGTCCAAGGCTGCACAAGGAGTTTAATCTGAGTTTGAGTTTCTGTATTTTTGGTGGGCTGGCTTTAGAGAGGGTGTCTAAATGGGGGGAAAGGGGCCCTCAGGTGGTATGAAGGCAATGTGGGAGGGTTGTTCAGCAAGACTAAGCACAAAGTCTTTTTTTTTTTTTGGAGACTTATGGGTTAAGGCAGGTCCTTTGACCCCAGATCCTAGGTGTGGGAGGCATGGAGGAGGGGATAGGGGATGTTGTGGGTTCCTCTGTGACCTTGTGGATTCCCAAAGGGCTGGCTCAAAGCAGTATCCCATGCTGCCAACTACCCCTCCTTCCCTCAACTTTTCTCCCTGGCTTCTGTGGGCCAGTAGGTTCCTGGTCGCCTCTCTACCTCTCCCAAGCCACCCATTCCTGGCGCCTTCTCTACTTTCCATTGTCACTCAGGGCCTGAGTTGGGCTCTCCTCCACTTTCATTTCCCCCTCCCCGCTGAGGGGTCTCTTGGGCCTACATTTACCCTTCACATTTCAAAACCCCTAGTTTCCAAATCAATGCTTGCCCTTTTTCTGGAGTTTCTAAAGCTGAGTTCTATTTATTTATTTATTGATTTATTGGATAGTACTGGGGATTGACTCTAGAGTCTTGCACGTGCTAGGCAAGTGCTCTGCCACTTATCCACACATCCCCACCATTTTTATTGTTTTATTTTAAGACAGGGTCTTGCTTCCCAGGCTGGGCTTGAATTCACAACCCTCTAGCCTCAGCCTCCTGTGTTGCTGGGGTTGTAGATATGTGCTACCATATCCAGCCCTAAAACTGATTTTTTTATACTTATTTATTTATTTATTTTTTCGGAACCGGGGATTGAACTCAGGCCCTTGCACTTGCAGGGGAAGCGCTTATTCCACTGAGCCATCTCCCCAGCCCCTTTTTATACTTATTTAACCAACACTTATGGAACAGTTTTCTGTGCCAGGCACTGCATTAGGCACTTTAGAAACACAAATTCATTTAAGACTCATCACAATCCTGTGCGGTGAGCATTATCATTACCCCTTTTACAGATGAAGGCTCAGAGTGGGCAGGTGACTTGCCCGAGTAGTGGAAGAGCCTCAAGTAAAGTGTGTCTGTGGGTCTGCATCCCCACTGTTCAGGAGCTTGTTCTCACAGTCACACAGCTAGCATCTAGGACAGTGCCCTGAACATGCCACTCGGTAAGTGTCAGAATTGGTGAACTGGGTTGCATCATCCCCTACATATGAGCGGCACCCTGTCATCCTTCTCTATCAGAGAACCCTGCATAAGGATCCCCATCTAGAAGGATTTCTCTCCATCTACAGTTATTTTCTTTATTAATTTGTTTGTTATCATAAAGGCTCCACAAAGGTAGGGAGCTTGGTCTGTTTTAGTCACTGTCATGTCCTCATATGAACAGTATCTGGCAAATGACAGCTTTTCAAAAAAA